AACAAATGTTCCCAAAACCCCCCCCCCCCCCAAAGTGATGCCAATACTTGCAGAGGTGTTAAAGTGTAAAGTGATCAAGAGGTGAAACAGTCCCAGTAGAAAAACGACCAAAGCTATATACAAAGTAGTGTTGTCACGGTACCAAAATGTCAGTATTCGTTACCAATACCAGTGAAAATCCACGGTTCTCGGTAGCAATTTTGGTACCAAAGCAAAACACAAAAACATGCTAATTAAAAAATTTGACTATACTTTCATTTAATCCAAACTGTGTACATATTTAATTTTAAAGGGCTTTTGAAAACCTTCTAGAGTTATTCAGCCAAGAATAACAACTAACTACATCAGCTAAAAGAAAAGAAAAGAAAAAAAAAAGCCCAGAACTGCTTTTCTGATCGTTCTCAAGCCCGCCCGCCTCCGCTCACTCTAGCCCGCCGCCGCGCGTGACTCTGTGTTTCGTTGTGAAAGTGAAACTACTTTGTTTGGCCTTCCAATGGAGGACACGACTAGAAATCAGTGGTTACGTTGCATTTACAACACTGTTCCAGAACACTTCAACCCAAATATTCAGATGTGTGCAGCACATTTTATGGAGGACTGTTTCCTGATCCTGGAAGAGTAGACGTTTTATGTTACGCTCCGGCCTGACAGGGCATCACAGTATGGTAAGCGGCGTAACATTTCCATCACATGCTTGAGGTATTCGCCAATCATAACACACCGACCGGGTACTCGGTACCACCGGTACTTAAAAAAACCTGGTACCGTAACGTTTTCATTTTTTTAGTACCGACTTGATACCGGGTCTTTTGACAACACTAATACAAAGTAACAAAGTAAACACTGTACAAAGAAACAGAGATATACACACAAACTTCAGTATTGGTAAGAATTGCTCACGGCACCACAGTTGCACGCTTGCTCGCCAGGTAAACTGAAAACACACACTGGTTTGGGGCTCTTTGTTTACAGTCCAAGCTCCACCACTTTTGGATTAAACCAGGATGACTAATTAGTGAGGCAAGTATAAAAGGTAAGTATGTACATATTTACAATAACACATAAATATACATATAAACATAACATCTACTCCACATTAGGGCTGTGCGATTAATCGAAATCGTCATAAAATCGCAATTTGAGCTTGCGCGATTTCTAAATCGCTTTATAGCACGATTTTCCGCGCCCCCAACCTCCCGCAGTATGCTATCTGAACTAGGCCTGTCGCAATAATCAATATATCGACTTATCGCGCAATATATGTACATGACCTCAATCATTTTTGGTGACGCAATATATTGCACATTATATTTACTTAAAACTTAATGTCACCATGTTTTGTACATTCCACTTGCACCTGTGTCTTTTGCAGCTTCTCATACATAACGTGATGTAGTCATGAGGTGCAAGTTCAAAATTAAAAAATGCTTCCACAAACAAAGTTTCATCTGCAGATATGGCCTTGTTTAGGGATCTGTGCCTTTGTGCATACGGACATCTGACTGCTAAGTAGTGATTGTGTTTTTCAGCAATAGTGTGCACCCTTAATTTACAGAGAAAAGAAGGTCCGGGAAAAATCTGTAGATGGAAAAATCTCCATACAAGTTCTTTGTGCATTTTTCTTTTTTTCTACTCGTTACTTTGCACTTTTTGTTAGAAAATGTTTATTTACTATTTACGCAGTTTTTTTAAGGTATCTAATATTTTGATACTTAATTTCCATGATCTAAATATTCTTAAAAATTAAAAGTTTGTTGTCATTTGGAAGTGTGTAGGCCTTCTTGCATTATTATACTGTTACATTATGATTATATATTCAGTGGCATAAAATGGTCTTTAAAATGACAATAATATCGCTTATCGCAATTATTTCTGGGGCAATATATCGCACAAAAAAAAGTTGTTATCGTGACAGGCCTACAAAC